TCAGTTAGTAAATGACCATGAACATGACGTGTTGTGTTTGTGATGAATTGTGGAATGCAGAATGTGCAGGACCAGATCATTCGAAGTAGGTATGAAAGCATGCATGTTCGAATGTGACTTCACATATCTGATATAGTTATCAGTTATTATCTCATGCTTTCTCATCCTACAGGTTGTTATTTATTTTCAATGGGCGGCTGAACAGGATTTGGGGTATGGACAATCGACTTCTACCTATATAGCAACTTATTATTTTTTTTTTACAGAAACAAGAATTCAAAGTGGACTGAAGAAGACATGAATCAACGATATATTTATATTTATGTAATCGTCACCAAATATTTATATCTAAATAGAAGAACCTATATTTGCTACCTACTGTTTCTTCATTTGATTTCCAAAGATGAGCATCCATTATACGCCCACAAATAAACATCCACTGTACGTCCAGAGGGGTGTCCTCAGGACATCCAATGGACGTCTAATTTGGTACGTCCAATGGATGCTCAGATATCGACATCCATTGTGAGTCCAAATATGAACATCCATTGTACATCTGAATATAGATATCCACTGGACGTCCAGTGGACGTCCATTGGACATTGAACGTTCACTCAAGTACGTCCATTGGACATACATTTGCTGTGTGGGTATAAGGTTCCGTGGTTATAATATGTATATGGGGTGTATGTGGTCCCGAAAATTGGTATACTATTCTGTTATAATCGAACATTTCCAATCTACCTGGAATATTCCTAGTCTTACGACTGTTCCCGGTGTGATAAGAGTCGGCACCAACTAAACTGCTCAACATTGATAACGTCGTGGTCCAAAATATAGCCTGAATTCAAAGTAGAATAACTCACGAATTTCCTTACCGATTTGAAATCGGTTTTCACCTATGATTAGCCTAATGTCTTGACAGTTTGTTCTGACAATATGGAACTTCTTTAATCTCAGATAACATTGCTACAGGGTGATAATTGAATGGGAGTAAAATTGCACCGTGGTCGTCACCTTACCGTTTGAACAGATTTTTTTTCTCACCTGTATCCTCTTGATTGATGCTTTATCTCGAAACATATTCGGAATTTTTGAATTCAGAGCTTTGATGACCGTGTTATGACTATCCATTCAAAATGATGCATTTTTTCGACGATTAATTGAATGAAATTAGAAGTTGAAATTCTTTTTCGCAGAATCAACCTCTGTAAAATACTGATTTCAGTGTATTTTTTATCAAGAAAATATTCGACTGACTTTCCTTTCTTCAAATCAACTTTACTTAACAGACTGTCGATTAACCATGTTGTTTCTATCCGGCTCGAAGGACCATGTAAAATACTGATTTCAGTGTATTTTTTATCAAGAAAATATGCGACTGACTTGTCTTTCTTTATTTTCAATCAACTTTACATTAATTCTTTTTTTATAACAAATTCAACTTCTTCTTCCGCTATCTAATGAAGATAATACAGTGTGAACTACAATTACATTTCTATAACAATACTGCGACAACCTCATATGTTCAGTCGACGGAGATGTGATCGTGTTCGAACACAGAAAATTCTGAAGTAGTCTATACAAAGTGATACAAGAAATACTGAATGATGGAATGGAGAATAACGAAGTCTTCAGTAGATGAAACATCATTATCTCTGTGTTACTAGTGAAATAATGGAGTGTTACTTCGTCATAAGGATGTTTGGTGTCTGACCTCGAAATGGTTTCGTGATTTCTCGGATCGAAGGTCATATAATGAAGGTACGCATTTTTAATACAAGGTGCGATAAAAAATATGTCCAGATTGTCCCGGGATGAAGAAGAATATGTTTAAACGTGATGAAAATCGCTATATTCCGAAAAAGAAATATAGTGTCGGTCATTGTCGAAAATTGTGAAATGTATAAATACAGTAACTCTCCATGAGGTTTATACGAGAAAATATGGAAGAGACTGCAGAATTGCCATATTTCACCTTCATTATATGACCTTCGATCTGAGAAATTACAAAATCATTTCGAGGTCAGACACCAGACATCCTCTTGAGGAAGTAACACTCCATTATTTCACTAGTTACACAGAGAAAATTATGTTTCATCTACTGAATACTGCCGTATTCTTCATTCCATCATTCAGTATTTCTTGTATCACTTCGTATAGAATTTGCAGAATTTTCTGTGTTCGAACACAATCACATATCCGACGACTAAACATACAACGTTGATTCTTCGAAAAAGAATCCCAACTTCCAATTTCAATCAATTAATCGTCAAAAAAATGCATAATTTTGAATGAATATTCATAACACGGTTATCAATGCTCTGAATTCGAAAATTCCGAAAATGTTTCGAGAGAAAGCATCAATCAAGAGGATAAAGGTGAGAAAAAAAAATCTGTTCAAACGGTAAGGTGACGATCACGATGCAATTTTACACCCATTCAATTATCACCCTGTAGCAATGTTATCTGAAATTACAGAAGTTCAATATTGTCACAACAAACTGTCAAGACATTAGGCACGTTAGTTCTCTCCACGTGAACTGGTGCATTCCCAATGGAATACGAAATAATACAGGGTGTTTTAAAAAAAACCTAACCCCATTGCTAGTGGAGGTAGAACATTGCAAAACAAGGTGGGATTGCTTAGTGAAAAAATGTCGTATCGGCATCTATTTTTGTGATACAAGGTGTTGAAAAAATTATTTTTTTACACATTTTTCACGATTATTCGGAAACTACTGGCGACATTGTAATGAAATTTTGTATGGATGTTTCTTGAAATCTGACACATCGCATGCATTTGTTTTTATATCTGACTCTCATAGAGGGCGCTAGTTAAACGGTTCGTACCGAGTAGTTTAGAACATAACTTTTTTGAGGTTACATTTTTCAATCGAAATATGATTTGAACTTGAACATCATTCAAAATTACACCAAAAAGGTACTCCTGGTGAAACTCGATACTATGTTCCGTTTTCGGAATATTTCGATTCGAAAATAATGGAGTAGTAATGATGCTGGTATAAAATAAAATTTATTGAGTTCATTTACCTATTTATTCAGGTTCGAAAACAATAACATTATTCTTGTGCTGAAGTTATTGATGGAACAAAGAATCATAAGTAGAAAATTAAGAGATATTTGACTAGAAATATGAAATATTGAATCAGTTAGAGTAAGTGTTCAAAATGTCCTACGTTTCGAGGAATACACGATTCTATATTCTTTTTTTGAGAATGTATTATTCTTCTGAACAGTTGAGGATGTTCAATTATGTCTCACAACTCTTGACGTGAATTTACCTATGTAGTATAGACTTTCTGCTAAAGATACAACAAAACTGTCATGTTCTTAGTCAAATCTGTTTCGATGTTATTCTTGTGATTCATTGTTGAATCAATGAGCTTTGCATCAGAAATGTATTTTTGTTTTCGGTTTTCAATAAATAGGTGATAATTTTTCATAATACTCACTCTAATACATAGCTTCATACCAGCAACAGTTACCACTTCATCATTTTCAAATCGAAATATTCCGAAAACGAAACACAGTATCGAGTTTTACCAAGAGTACTTTCTTGGTGTGAAATTGATTGATGTTCAAGTTCAATTCTGTAGCGTATAGACGTAGGGGTCTGTACTTGTGACTATAGATGGCAGCGCCATACAGTGTGTGTCGCGTTATCTGTGTCCTACCTTAGAGCTTTGCCACAAGATGGCTACAACATGAATACAACTTCATGTTATACCCTGCGTCTTGGAAATGGGTGATATTCCCGAAGCGTAGAGTTGTCCCTGTTGTCAGCCGACCGAGAGCGGCTGATGAGACCTGGTGGGTCAAAACAGTACTGTCTCGCTACTGCTGACAATTGGGGCAACTCTGTTCATCCTAGATCTCTTAGTTATGAGATTTAGCAGTTAAATAGATTAATGTTTCTGATAGTGAGATACACTTATTGAATTGCTTATATACGAAGTTTCTTAGAAAACATTAATATCCTGTTATTGGAAATGATGTGTAAAAATCGTTTGTGAGCTTTCTCATATTTACTATGGGTTATCATTAAGTAACGGCCGAGTCAAAACAAAATTTGAAGATCTTCTAGGCTCAACGCAAAAATCTGATGCCATAACCCTATTTATTCCCCAGTTAACATTTCAAATATAAGTCATGATAAATCAACGGAAAACGCTTTTTGACGACGACGTGAGTCATCTTGACATCGACAAAAAAGGATGCACCTTTTTTATCGCTGATAAACTGCCTGCTCCTTTAATCTAGTAGCTATTTGCGCCTGAGGCCAGTCTCGGGTTTCTGTCGTGTCAAGTTTGATTGATGGGTATAGTTCACGCGTAAATTAGCATGATGAGCCGTTTTAGGAAAATATTGCCTGAAGAAACCACGAAAATATGAGAAAATTCAATTCCGCAAACTACCAGTTACACGGAATCATCAATCAAGGTATCATTATTGTTGTACAAAACACAGCCGAAAAACTCTGAAAGAGAGCTGATGGGCGGTGCCTGAAATGAATGTTAGCCAGCTCTCTTGAGCGAACCACATCAGTCATTGAAAACACTTGGGGTTTGCATAAAGGTCCCATTAGGGACTAGTTGCTGACGTGCAAACGTCCACTGCCAGTACCAGTACAGTAATTGCTACTTGTTAAATGATAAATGTTACTTGATAATTGTTAAATGTGCTGCATAAATCCACCTTAACATTTTCCATCAGTTATAACTCTCGAAAAACTGTCAGTTTTTCTCGTAAAATATCTGATCGGCAAATATTTCCCGTTACAAAGAGAAATTTATCCGATAATGAAAAGCTCTTGTGTTTTTACTGTTGATAAAATGTTCCACTGTCTGAAAAAAGAATTGGAAAGTAAAAGTTTGGCAAAATTGGATGATATTTCTGCTGTATATGGCTCCTAACGGATCACCGACGTGACTACATGGGCACAGTACATATAAAATAATACACATTTTCGAAATTCATCACCTAACGTTGAGAGTATTCTTCTGATCCGACTTCTTCGACTTGGAGTAGAGTTTGATGAACAGCCTGTTCATGTCTTTGTCGGGAAATAAAGTACACAACACCCCTTCCAACAGCACGTACAGCAGTCTACGGTTGAGAATCGGTCTTTGGAAAAGATCGAAAATAGTAAGTAAGCCTCGCCTTGTGGTCTCCGAACCGATTATGTGTTTCAACTCATCTGAAATATACAATAAAAGACGGTGATTATTATTATTTCAATTCTTATAATCACAAAATCACAGTATATTATCCTTTCACGAGACAGTAGGCTCACTCCCTCAGAAATTTTGCGCGTCCCCACTTCTGCTTTAATGATCTAGAGACTTTAGTTTTGTCTACTGGCACCCCTGACATTGCTGTCACGTCACATCCATAGGCGCTACAGAAGATCTTTCAAAATTTCAATGATAGGTATGTACAGGGCATTTACTTGTTGAGGAAGATCATATGGCGAACGAGTTTTGTGATTATGATCCGATTATATTCAGAATTGGAAGGTATCTGGGATTTTATATAATCATTACTCTACCACAAATTGAAAATATGTAGAATGCAAGAGTGCCAATAACGTGCCAATAAGTTATACTCTGTATACCTACTTCTTTGTTAGTTTCATCAATAAATTATTAGAAAATCACTTTTTAATTAAGGGAGACGAAAAAATCATATGTATAACATGGGGGTGAAGTATATTCTATTCTTTATATTCCTGCACATTTTACGTATTACTTTTTATCAGCCTACTTTTCGTCCTAGACGAAGTTTTATACATAGTGTGATATTAGTCACTCCATAAATTCTTCTCCGAGTTGGATTTCCGAAAATATATTTAGCACACATGACATGAGTACAGTAGTTCAGATACCCACATCGAGGTTTTCACCATTTCTCAATCATAAGGCTCAGCTCATAGTTGAACTACTGCTCAGCTTGAAATCAGAATTCATTCAGTCAATTCAGTCAACCCTGGTATACAGTCTAAGAACAGTCTCTTTTGGTGAAATATATTAAGCTTTTAGTACAAATTATATGTTCCCTACCTCGCAAAGATTATGCTGGAGTAGTAAACTCTAAAACTAGAGGATTGTTCAACTATATCTTGGTATAATTGAATCAGGAATTCCATATGGAAATTACGTATGATACGCCAATGACCTCAATATAACCTAAAAAACAACAGATGTCAAAAATCTAGTGTTTATCCCCAGAATTGAATAAGGATGGAACTATATAACTGTTTCACAAACACTTAAGAGTGAGAGAAGACGAGGATCTGTCCGTACCCTGTGAAGATGACTTTAACGTCAATTTACATCAAGGGACTCTAGTAATCGAATATCTGTCACTCTAATTTTGTGATTTGATTTTGAAAAAATGCGAACTTAGTGGTTGTTTTTTAGTTATTTATGTAACCGCGAAGTGAAATAGAAGACAAATTGACTTGCAGTTCTTTCACTTCATTCTCGGAGACCGTGTTATTATTGGCTTAAATAAGTTACGGCAACTATTGCCTTCAAGTTCAATGAATTTTTCGTTAAGGCTCCTATCGAATTGGTCAAAACAAATACCTCCAAGTAATAATGGGGTATTTGATAATGAAAAGGATTTTAACCCTTACACAATCTTTTTGAACCCATTTACGGGACAAGAATTACTGTCATTGTTAAAAAACAAACTAAAGAATAAAAAATCGTCTGGTCCAGATGACATACCGATGTTTATATTGAAAAGAGTTCTTCCTTTGATAATATTACCATTAACACATCTGATAAATACGTCATTTGTGAGAGGTGATTTTCCACATAAGTTAAAAACTGGCAAAGTAACTTTTCACAAAGGAAGACACAACCCTTGTGGAAAATTATCGTCCTGTAACAGTCCCTTGTGGACTCTCGAAACTTTTCGAATATGCCATTTTGGAACGTCTCAATTCGTTTCTTGATAAACATCCTGTCTTGAGTAATAGGCAGCATGGATTTCGTTCTGAAAAATCTACGAACACAGCTATCTTCTCATTACTGAACAAAACCATAGAATACGTTGATTCAGGTGAATATCCAGCGGTAATTCTTTGTGATCTTAGTCGAGCTTTCGACTGTGTCAACCATCAAATACTGAGGTCGAAATTAGAAATGTATGGAATAAGAGGCGTATGTGTTAGTTGGTTCTCGTCATTTCTTCACAATCGAAAGCAATTTGTTTCCTTACAAGTAAAGTACATTAATGACTGGCGAGGGGCAAGGGGTTGGGTGTTTTGGCTGGTTCAAGATTCAGAATTCTGATCACCCTGTATCTATTCGGATTGAATATCAGTAAATAGTTCTGGCCGATAATGAATAGTTTCGGCACAAACAAATCCTGAAGTTGAAGAATCTCGATTTTGAACATCCTATATCTCTGTAATCATTCCCGATAGACCCCAAGTTGGATGTATTGATGAAATCAGCTCTCCAGGAAGAATCTAAAAATGCAATGAAATACAGGGTATTCTATTTGATATAACAAAGTTGTTGCTACTTTTTGATAGAAACGGCAACACCGCATTGCTGAAATTATTTTGAATGAAGAGAGCGCGTATTCTAAAATATAAGCATGCATATTTTCATGTATGATTCTCGATATAGAAATAGTGTGAGCTTGTCGTGCCATACCCTGTATGTTTCGTAACGTTTTTTGTATTTTTTACGATCGAGGAATACTCTCTTCTGATTTTCGTGCTTTCTGTTCGAAACTGTAATCTTTCCGATCAAGAAATGCTTTCTTCTGATTTTCGTGCTTTCTGTTCGAAACTGTATTTTTTAAGAATCTACCATCTTTAATAACTGTGATACAGAACGTAATCTCGATTCTGGCAAAATCATCTATGGTCAGGTCATAACTTTTGAACCACTGTGTATAATCGGTTCATACTTGGTAGGTATATTCAACTCATATCACTCATCAAAACTAAATAGGAATCGAATTTAGAATCCAGATCCTTCTTCAGGCAAAACAGAAAACTTATTCTTTCTCAATAACAACACTCCCTATATTAGAATTTTGTAGATATGTTCTGATATCTGCAAGGAGCAGGAAAAATCAATGAATTGGTCTACTTTTTAACAGTGCGCATCCAATTTGAAGAATAGGATTTTTATTGAACTCGTGATTCAAAATCCAATTTTATTTAAAAAAACTAACCAGTCCTCAAATTTCAACTTAATTAGAGCTGAATTAGGTGAACTATCGATGGATTTTGTTCCATAGAACAATTTGTCAATTATTTTCGAGTGCTCATTACATTTTCAGTTCATTATTTTCCTACTTTTTCCAGTTATCAAAACATATCTAGAGATTTTGGGAAAGATTATATTGTCATCAGCCTGTGTTCAATCATTAGTCTTTCGAAAATTATACTGTCAGAGTATATCCGTGTTCCATACTTCATTTTATATTTTGTATATTATATATTCCCCCCCCCTATAATTTCATCATCATAAGTCATGGATTTCCCCCCGTATAATTCCATTATCATCATTAGTCATAGATAAATCATTTGCGAAAAATAATCGGTAAACAGCATGATTCAACTTATTAGTCATTCATTCGGGACCAGGTGGTAAGTCATCAAGACAGTCTTATATTAGATGTCATCACGAACGGTCGAATTTAGTGATCGACATCGAAAAATACGCGAAAGGAATTATTTATCGTTCCAAACTGAGTGTTCCCTAAAAACTGAGTGATCGTATTGATTCGTATATAGTGTTTTTGTATTCCTCATTCGATTCAATAATAATAATATCGGGATCGTGTGTTCTAGTGTTTCGTGTTGTTTCATCAAAGCCCCACTTTTTTCACGCTGGTGAGTGCAAAGAAATTCTCTCAGTTTTTCCTCATATTTCTCTGTATTCATTTAACTTCATTACCCTATACAGGGTATGTCACGACGAGCTTACACTATCTTTAAATCGAGAATCAGTCTGGAGAAATTCATGAAAATGTGCATGCTTATATCTTGGTATACACTCTTTTCATATAAGATATGATCGACAATGCAGTGTTGCCGCTTCTACTAGAAAGTAGTAGCAACATTGATATTTCGAACAAAACACCCTGTATTTTATCGCATTTTAAGATTCTCCCTGAACAGCTGATTTCATAGATATATCATACTTGGGGTCTATCGAAAATGATTTCGGAGATATAGGATGTTCAAAATCGATATTTTTCAACTTTAGGATTTTTTTTGTGTCGGAAATATTCATTATCGGTCAAAACGGCTCACCTGTCCCTATCTCAATTTTGTTTCACTATTTACTGATATTTAATCGGAACAGATACAGGGTGGTTCAAGATTCAGAATTCTGATCACATGCATATTTTCATGGATTTCTCCCGACTGATTCTCGATATAGAGATAGTGTAAGCTCGTCGTGACATATCCTGTATGTTTCGTACTGTTTGTTGTATTTTCTCCGATCAAGGAATACTTTCTTCTGATTTTCGTGCTTTCTGTTCGGAACTGTATCTTTTAAGAATTTACCATCTTCAATAACTGTGAATACTGTGATACAGAACGTAATCTTGATTTTGGCAAAATCTTCATTTATGGTCAGGTCATAACTTTTGAACCACTATGTATAAACGATTCATACTTGGTAGGTATATTCAACTCATATTACTCAAAACTATATGAATCAAATTTAGAATCCAGATCCCCTTCAGGCAAAACAAAAAACTTCTTTGTTTCTAACAGTGCGCATCCAATTTGAAAAATAGTATTTTTATTGAACTTGTTATTCAAAAAATCCAATTTTATTACAGAAAAATAACGAGTCCTCAAATTTCAACTTAATTAGAACCGAATTAGGTAAACTATCGATGGATTTCGTTCCATAGAACAATTTGTCAATTATTTTCGAGTGCTCATTACATTTTCACACACACAAATTAAATAAGTATTTTACACTCTTGAATTTTTGTACGTAGATTCATATTTCGAAATTATTCATTTCAGTATTTTCAGTAATTTTATATACAAGTTATATTCCCGTGAGAATCATAGCCGACTACGGAAACCACACACATCACCGAAATCGGACGCCTGATAATGCAAGATCAACATATTTCCTAGAATCAGTTAGAGCCCGTGACACTGTATTTCTCACATTTTTCCCGCAGTCTAGAATTAGAATC